CTTTTGTGCCCAATGCCCATAGTACTTTCTTTTCAAGGAACAACCTCTTCTATCCAGATTATTCGAATTAACTAACATTTAAAGGGCTGACTTTTTTTTTCTATCTTTAGCATTTAAAGTTGTTTAGAAGATTAATTATTGAGTGTTTTTCGGTGAATAGATATGAACTTTGTCTATATATTGAGTTCCTGCAATCTCTAAATAAATAATTCTTTGATTTTTATGTTTGGCTTCTTGTTTGCGAATAAGTCAAACTAAAATTATAGAGTATATAAAACTTCATGATACTAAGTTGTATCACCATTTATTCAAGGTTTCAAAATGCATTGAAATTGACTTTGAAATGTTTTCTGAGAAGTTTCCAGAGTATTTAGTCGTTTTATAGTCTTCCAAATTTCTTCATTTTGGATCCTCAATTTGCTTCAAAGTCTTTGAATCTTATTGGAGGCATTTGAGCCACAAGTTCGACATGGAAATCATAAGTTTGAGCATGCAAGTATGGTTTAGAAATTAGAGGGAAAAAAAAAAGCTGTGTCAGAGGAAAATGTGGAATAGGACAACAATAGGGGAATTTGCCAGAATGACCTAAATTTGAGATCGTCAATTATATTGGCCCTGTTTTTAAAAACTTGTTATTCTAACATGTAATATTGTTTGAGAGGGAAGTATGAGAAAATTATTTATTTTTTCCTTTTTTTTTAAATAACTCTCTCTCCCTCGAGAAGAAAGAATAACTCTTTTCTCTAGATCATAGTTCCTCGATACTGAAATTCCCAAGCCTCCTTTCTCTTTTTCTTCCTCCAATCAAGCCCTTACTGCAAAACTTTCAAGCCACCATTAGCGATAACGGGAGGAGAGGGAAATCGAAACTTCGGTGGAGGGAAGCAAGAGGAGAGAGAAATCAAGGTTTTGGTTGAGGAAAATCCGCGGGGAGAGAAATCCAGATTTTGATAGAGGAAATCTACTGCGAAAAAAATATTAAAATTTTCAAACAGGAAATATTTGATTTTCCAGTCTTCAAGCAGGTTCTATTATAGTTGGGAATATTATAATTTTAAGTACCTAAGCTACCTAAGATTATACAATTGAAAATACTCTCACTAAACCCACGAGATACAAACTCCTTTTTTCACCTGTTCACAACCACTCAAGTCTCTCTTATTTAGATTCTGTACAAATGAAACCTTAACAAAATTGTTTAATTTATAAGAAGTCAAATATCTCAATACTTATAAGAAAACAATCTCCTTATAAGAAAACAATATTGCAATCAGACAATAATATCTTATTCCTTGTAGGAATTGGTGGTAGTGTTGCAAATCATTTTCCTCATAAGACACGGGTCATCTATTTTGGCTCCATTATCCCAACAATCTCCCTCTTGGAGACAAAACATAGATCTTTCCTCCCACTGCAATAACATCTCCCAGATGCAAGAGACACAGTCACGTTCTCCCACTCAAACTAAGTGGCAATATCTGAATCTTCCTTCTACGTTCTCAAACACTGATTCTTGAAGAAAGAACTTCCCACTGATGACTTGACAACTCAATTCAAGCATGTTGGCAGAATTGAAACTTCATTCTTTACCTCAGTACCTACTGGGTTCATCTTCTCTGATGCAACTGTTCGTTGACGCGACTTTATCAATTCACCCATTCGTCTGACAACTGGGGATAATCCCTGACAGCCTAAAGAACCCGTTCTCATTCTTTGACTTCCCAATTGTTGTTCCTGAATTGATGGCAGATCCTCCTGATCTGTTCTGGTTGTCTTTGTTGTTAGTTTAGTCTTACTTCTTTGGACATCATCTGCAACTTACAACCGTTGTTTCAATGGTCCTTTAGCAACACTCAATTGCGACGTGTGAACTATAGTCTTCTATGGCCAACTGCCACCAACTTGGATCCTTTGGTGAGCTTCCACTGGTTCCCATCAAACTTACTTTAATAACCATCATTGTCCAACTTACCTGTAGAGATAAGGTTCATTATGATATTAGGTACATACCTGACATCTCGCAGTAATAACTCAGTCCCTCTATCGGTCTTCAATCGTATATTTCCAGTCCCTTTAGTCTTGGAAAGTCTTCCATTCCCCATCCTCACGTGGTCGTGATTACCTCTTCTGGATGATGTGAATAATCTTCTATTTGAAGATATGTGTATTGAAGTTGCTCTGTCTATTACCCACTCTGATGACTGGTTTCCTGTTTCCGTGTTGCTTTCAACATAAACGAGGCAATTGTCTACAATTGCGTTTGACTCTACCATATACGTTTTCAGATCCTCTTTTAATATTTTACAGTTTTTGTTGATGTGGCCCTTTCTGTGGCACTGAAAACATCTAGCATCTCTCTTCTAATCCCTCATACTATGCTTCTGTTGCCTGTCATCAGACACAACCTTCTCTTCACCTTTTTCGACAGCCAATGCTGAGTCGGAAGTAGATTCTTTTCCACTCTCCTTTCTGCGAATTTCTTCAACAATTGCCGCATCACAAATTTCTGAAAATTTCAAAGATTTGTCTCCTGACGAATTGGACACTGTTGTCTTCATCATTTTCCAACTTTTAGGTAAATATGTTAGCAACAAAATAGCATTCACTTCATCACTAAAAGTAATCTTAACTGATGTCAATTGATTGATTAATTTTGTGACCTCATTTATGTGGGAATTGACAGAAGTATTCTCTTCCATTTGAATGTTAAAGAATCTTCTTACGAGATATACATTATTATTAGTTGAGGGTTTCTCGTACCTATTCTCCAGTGCTTTCATCAGATCTATTGCTGTTGTTTCGTTTGCTAGGAGACTTGCCACATTCATCGACAAACACAATCTGATAAAGGCAACTACCAGTTCATTCGTCTCTACCCAATCTTCATCTTTCATCCCCGTTGGGTGTTCCTTTAAAGCTTTATTCAACTTCTTGCAGGTCAAGTAATTCTTAATCTGCATCTTCCAATATCTGAAATTGGCCCCATTGAACTTCATGATTCCTTCAAAACCTGACTTCTCTGTTGATCTCATGATCTCTGAACCAAACACTCTAATACCAATTGTTGGAAAAAAATATAAATTGATCGATCCTCCTGTAAGTTCTTCAAACATAAACTATTTAATTTTTCACTTCCACATGCTAAAAGCAGATAAGTAAGTAACAATAACAAAGAAATAAGAGATAGGGATAGAAAAGCTTAACACCACAGAGATTATATTGGTTCACCCCTATCTTGGGACTACGTCCAATCTTCTACGAAAAAGTAGGTTTAACTATAGTTGGGAATATTACAATGGAGATCTCACTGAAGATATTACTATCTTGCTTCTAAGTATCTAACAATGGCTACCTAGGATTACACAATTGAAAATATCCACACTAAACCCACGAGATACAAACTCCTTTTTTCACCTGCTCACAACCACTCAAGTCTCTTTTATTTGGATTCTGTACGAATGAAACTTTAACAAAATAGTTCTATTTATAAGAAGTCAAATATCCAAATCCTTATAAGAAAACAATATTGTAATCCTTATAAGACAATAATATCCTACTCTTTGTAGGAATTGGTAGTAGTGTTGAAAATTTTTTTTCTCGTAGACACGGGTCATTTGTTTTTGCTCCATTATCCCAACAAAATCTATGAGCAGAGAAATTGAGATTGCTACCATGAGGAGATAAAAAAACGAGATCGCAAGCTACAGCGACAAAAGATGGAAAACGAGATCGCCAGTTATATTGACGAAGAGAGAGAAATCGATGAGAGATGGAGATGAGATGGCCGTGCGGTATGGAGATGGAGCGATAGGGAGTGGAGAAACAGGGAGGGAAAAAAAGTATAACGATCTAAAAAAGAGATGAAAAAAGTACTTTCCTCGTTACATCTTCAAAACCAAAAGTTGCTCAAATGAGGAGGAGAATGAGAGAGAACAATGAAGATGGTGAAGGAAAAGAAAAATCTACCGGTCGAGAGTTTGGAGGGAGAACGAGGAGGCTGTGTTTCCGCCAAGTTTCTGCTCACCTGACACTACCAATATCAAGTAAAAAAAAAACTTATTTGGAAAAAAACTAAATAAAAAAAAAAGAATAATGTCATTTCATAGACATTTCGAAAATAACATTTAAACAAATCGTTAATATTTTAGATTGAGATTTGACGTGATAATTAATATGGAAGCTTCCTTCACATTTCTTTCACTTAATTTTGTATTTTTTCTCTCTTGTCAAGTACTCAATTTTACTTTCATTCCGGTTCAAAATGGCAAGTATTCTATATTTTACCTATTTTCGATCTTTAACATACCAAGTTTTTACGTTAATTGTTACATCATTTTAAAATTTGTCACGTAAATTTTTTTTCGAAATATTTGTAAAACATACTAAAAATATATTTTTGAAATATTTATAAATTATCAAGGATAAGGTTGAAAGAATAATAGCATTTTTTAAACCAATGAGAAAAGTTAAAAAGTTAGAGAGAGAATTCTGTAATTACATTTCATTTACCTCCACATCTAGGTCATTTGCTCA